AGCGACTTTTTAAAAACGTGTCAAAGAACAACAACAAGGATAACAAGAACAAGAACAACAACAACATAATATTGAAACGATCGTTATGTCCACTACGTGTCCAATAAAGACTCACGGCCCCACGCTAATCTTAGACCAGCCCAGACTGGACGAGGTTAGTTTCGTTAATATGACAACATAATAGGGACTCACATTTTTGAAAATCCTTCTTGTCCGGTAAACAATGACATGGTAGAGTAACTTCTCTTCTTTTATTTCTTCTATTCTCTCACTCTTCTCTCTTTCTTCCGTAACGAGAATCTTTTCGTCGTCGTACAAGATCTTGAAAAACCAGTTACAGCAAGGACCTAAAAGCTTGACAATCCGGTCCAGCAAACTCGCAAAAATGACGGTTTTAAGCGAACAAGCTCTATTTGCCTCGTAAGATTAAACTTTGTACACCCCCAGGCTAAATTTAACGAGAAATTCCAAACCGCAGTCTCTCGGATTGTTAAATTAGCTTTAACTGGTCATAATAATCGCCGGATAAACAATGACCGATGCTTCCGAGTTCGTCTGGTCTTCTCATTCAAGCCGCAGTCAATATTGTAAGCATGTAACAGTAGTTCTTACTGTCCTTAAAATGGGCGAAAACCTGTCGGATTTGGAAATGATTCTGATGTTAAATCGTGTAATCTTTCATTGTGAAATTAGAGCATGATCGAGGCGTGTGAGGGGATAGTCAGCCACAAAAGTGAGACATCACATGACACCTGGCGAAATTGTCATGAGTTAAATGGAAATACAACGAATTCAGATTGTTTTTGAGGTTAAAGATATCGTGTAATATTTCACTGTCAAAATAAAACGTGATAGATGTGTGAGAAGGTATTAATCAACAAAGGCGGGTCGTCAAATGACGTGACGGAAGTATGTAACTGTCCGTACTGTCTCAAAAACGGGAAAACATGTCGAATTTGGACCTGATTCTGTTGGAAAAACGGCGATTTCGAATCGTTTTCGAAGGTAACTGCAAAGTGTGATCTCGCATTGCTAATTTGAAGAAGGAAAAGGGTATTTGTGCAAAGGTCGACACATCATATGACTTCAGCGTGCTTGCGGTAATACCGTAAGCATGTAACTATCGCACTGTATTTAAAGAGTAAAAATTTATCGAATTTGGACATAAATCTGTTGGAAATACAACAAGGTTTTCAATGTTCAGTGTATCGAGTAATCTTTCATTGTTAAATCGAAATAAATTCGAAGTGTAAAAAGATAGTAACCCACAGAGAACGTCACATGACGCTAACGCGCTAGTGTTAATGTCGTAATCACGTAACAGCGGTACTTAATATAAAGAAGGCGAAAACCAGCTGAAATTGGAGACAAATCTGCTCGAAATATAAAGAATTCAGACTGTTTTTGAGGTGAAGTGTATGATATAATCTTTCACACCACACCGAATCACGATTGAGGTGTCGATGTAAACGGATATTCTTTCCACATTAACGTGGCATCACGTGACATACGCGTGCTCTGGTTTATAAATTATGGTTTATAAATTATGATCAGAACTTGTGGAAGTGGGGTGCAGTCATGGCCTCTGGACCACCTAATATATATATTCTTTTTTGATACTGACAGTCAGTGCATAAGAATATACTAACACAACGGCAGAGGGGGGACTCGAATCAGCCACGAAGGAACATGACATGTGGAATTATGTACCGAAAGGGGATGAAAAAATATTTTTGGTCGATTACAACAATGCTCAACTCTAATGAATATATGTATAATGTATTTCTTGGCTTAGGAGGAACTCGATGCTAGTATAGTTGGAGTTCTGCCTCGGGCAAGAAGGAATGTGGTTTGCCGCTGCATTTGCTATCCCTAAGGCAGTGGTTCTTAAACGGTCGAGCGCGCCCACAAGAGGGCGTAGACTTTGTTTTGAGGGGGAACGTGAAGCTAATTAAAAATAAACTTATTTGTTAGATTTGATATTAACCGCCTTATTTTGGTATGTACATTTCGTATTTCGAACGTGTTTTTTGAGGAAAACAAACTTTCGCCTTACTATCTGTTATTTGTAGCTTATTGTTAGTTAGTTATTTTTGAAGTGAGATTTGATAAGGGAGCGCTGCTTAAAAATTTGAGAAACACTGCTCTAATGGATATCACCTATGTCAATACATAAAGTGTAGCGATTTATTTGCGTGATGACCCTAACATTGGCTCAGTAGACCTCAGACTGCACCTGGGTATTCGCGACACAAAACTAGATATTTTGCGCTACAGTAGCACTATGATTTCTCACCCAGCAAAAATTTGATCGCCGATAAAAACCCCAAATTGTGTGATCAAAAGACGGGGGAATTAGCTGTAGCACTATTTTTCGATAAAGAAAAAGGAATTACGCCAGATTGTTGATGATCATTGTGTTTACTTTGTATTTACTGATTACTGTGCTTAATTAAGTTCTGTATTTGAGTTGATCTGTTTATATGCCTGAGCATGATTCAACGCTGTTTTGCCGGATCTGAGTATTGTGATAACATCCAAAATGTAATATTAGACTCCAACCAACCATTACACGTGCGAGAAAAAATATATTTTTTGCTCTAATTTTCGGTCGTTTGTCCGGAGGTCGGCTGCTTTATAGTTATGTCTGCTGCTTTTGTGTTTTAACTTTGAAGTTGCCGTATCAATAAATACCCAATCCAAGATCTTGAGTCTTCTGACCTAACAACCACAGCAGCAAAATCTGTGACACGAGTTATAAATTGAAAAGTTATGGGAGTTGATATGAATTTAAAATTTGGTTGGATTTGGCCACGCCCTATATCAAAAAATCAACGAAGCGTAGAAACGCGCATGAAGATGATTTTGAAAGATTCGCCTTGTGGAGATAATTATAGAGCATGTCGTGTGCTTCGATGTTAACCTGTACAACGTATGGTATCGGTATGTTTCACTTTTTTGAATGCGACGGGTTCCACCGGCAAAGATAATACAAAATTGATAGGGTCTTATGTACAAAGCCCCCGCTGAAAAAAAAATAGTAATTATCCCGTTAGGATGAAGGTTAGGAATGCAGCTTTCATTGAAAATTCAAATTTTGAAATCCGAACTGTAAACCCCAACCGAATTATTACTGATTTGGTATTTGAAACGTGGCGAGGGTGTTCTTCTCAAATCTCACATTTTTGCATTAGGGTCGGAGGCTTTGTACAAAAGATCCAATTAATAATTATTCAGATTTCCTTGAATTTGAAAGACAATGTCTTTCTTTCTATTATCACCCTTTTTGAACAACACTCAAGATTCTACTATTATTGGATGACTCCAATCACCTCTGCGGTCGTGACTTCGTTTCGGGATCATGACATCTTCTTTCTCGCATGACTGCTGCTGGGGCGTGTTTTCTTTGCCCCGTGTTTTATCTGATCAATCCGTGTCTTTTTGTTGGTTAATAAACGTCTTTACATGAGTAATCAGGCTATTGTGTGGATTTGCAACGCATGGAATCTTCTGAGGGCTTGCTATCTTGGCGAGCATGCTTATAAGTAAAGCCGTATCGCTGCAATGGATTAGGTTGATGCTTTTTGCAACCATTAATCGAAAGGACAGCTTGATCAAGTGACGGGCAAGGAGTTTCGCGAGATTTCAATTCAGGTCCGATTAGGGTAAAGATGATCTATATGCGTGAGCCTCGGTTATAGTGGTCCCCATCCGGCAAATCTGGGAGTCACCCACGACAGTGGGGAATCCAGCGGTCATCCCCTGCGTAACAACACTATGCACTATGCAGGGTAACCATATGTCCCATAACCATTGCCCATCTCTAATGCTAATATTAATCCTGGTAATTAGGTGGGTAACTTTGACGGATTTGAATATCTACCTACGTGTGACAGGCGGCATTTAAAACCTGTGCAGTGTTTTAAAAAACGAAAATTCGCAGGTTGATGTGTGATCGATTTTATTCGTTAATACAAAAATATGTTGGGTGACATTCCGGGTAGGCCTTTAAATTAAATTGGGCAATGTAAATAAGCCTCGAATTTGCATTTTAATCACCTTATTTGGAGAAGAGTGGCCGCTTCCGATCGGCTTGTCGGTTGGCCCTGGGGACAACTGCAGATAGTTTTTACGATGCACATGGAGGAGGAGTTAAAACAAATACCATCAGCAAATGATTGAAAATTATATATACATGGTGTTCGTATTGTCCCTTTTCAACTTTGTTATAAAGTTAATCAGGTTTAGTGTTTTATACAGACTTTATACAATACATCCGAGGGCCAAACCAATATATGACATCAATAAATTCCCTTTGCAATTTTAAAATTTTTCTAAACTTCATGGACACCCTGTATATCCTGCACAAGTAGTGACCGAAACCATGCACTAATTTATGCAAAAGTCTTTGAGCAACGGCACCGCAAAAGATAAAACGATTATATTTATTCCGGGAAAATGAAAAGCTCTCATCATTTGATGAGGGACCAACGCCAGGTAAGGAACCAGCTTTGCGTCTCAGATGCATGAACTTGATAGCGAACGCAGTCGTGAGCAGAGGCGAGCCATGAATTTTCAAAGGGGAGGGGGGTCTAAAATTGCCAAATTAGACCGCAACAGCTAGTGGATCCGGCCGAATTCCCGAAAACGTGGGTTTTCAAGAGTATTGAGAGTCTAAAGTGCGTCCTAAGTTACGAAGAGAATTGCTACGTATGGTACAGAGGAATGATTTCATTTATATATCAAAGAAATGAGGGTCTTTTGCAGTAAATGCGAAAAAAGCCTCACCCTTACTGTGACACACAGAAGCAAAGACATTTGCGATATTAGACAAACCTTAAATCCTATATAAACCAACACTCAGCAGCTTTTGGCATCTCAATGGTTGCCCGTAACTTTGCTTATAGATGAGTCACATTTTCTCTCTACCTCAAATAAAAAAAATATATATGAAATACTCGCGTGCACTTCATGGATGCCAGGTGGATAACTATTTCCCGGCTTTAGAAGACCACAAAATTGTTCACTATTTCATATAAAAGCTTTATTCCAGTAGAAAATTCACTGCATCAAGAAACTACTTTTAAAATTGCAATATTAAACAATGTTAAAATATTACAAACAAAGTAAGCAACGAAGTACGACTCAAGAATAATCTCTTCCAAGTGCACAAAAGAAAGCTGCATGTCACCATCCATTTATTTCAATGTTCAAGCGTGGATTACGTTACTACTGTAACATTTCAGAACTGGGGCGCAATTAGGTATGACAGTCAATAGGATATTGCTTAGATCTATATGGCAATACTGATAGTTATTGAGATCTTAATTAAACTCCGGAAGAGCCTCAATTGTACAGTGACCCATTGCTTCCATTAGTTTAGGTTTGAAATGTGGCTGGGTACCGCAAATTTCACATCCCAAGGCATGGTCTTTTCAAAATAGCACCATTTAGCTAGGAATTACCCATACAAGTTGGTAAACATAAATATAATACTAATGTCAATGATGGGCAATTCAGGAAAATTGAACATGGAGGATTAGAATACCAAAGACATCTTATGATCATATCCCGATTAAAAAGCCAATGAATAATAACTTCCCAGAATAATTCCATCCAAATAAACCAGGCCATCTTTTCAGTACACTGTGAATGTTCGCAAATTCTACAAATTTTATATTATTTAATAAAGTTGCTACATATAAAGTGGAGATATAAAAGCTACATAAAACTATGTAGAAAGGGTGCAGCATTTCTCAAACTATTTTTGTTCCGGTACACCTATGACCAATTCAGTCGCAATTTTGATTCTTGTCCCGCAGTATTGCGAAAAAGCTTGCTGAACATAGTTTGAGAAACGCTGAATTAGTGCGTAACAATCAAGCGTATACTGGATAAATTTAGATGTTGTCTGCGTAGCCACAAAGCAGAACATTCGAAATGGGCAACAATCAACAAACATTAGCTATATGATTATTCAATAAGCAATTCAAAGTTTATCAAGTGAAAAAAGTTGGTATGAATACAAAAAAGTCACTCGTTTGAAAATAAAATCAATAAAAAAATCGGTGCTCCCAAAGTATGCGAACCAAGATGGCGGACAACGGAACGTAACATGGGTAACAGGTTAGGGTTAGGCGATCATTTTTTTCCAATTTTCCCTATTTTAGTCTTATCAGTTCGAAGACTAGCCAAGAGCCTCCCGCAGTATTTATACCTAAAATTATGGCCTAACCCTAACCTAGTTCACATATTACATTCCGATGTCCGCCATCTTGGTTCGCATACTTCGGGAGCCCCGAAAAAATCTGACTATTACCAATAAAAACAGTGCTATGGGATCAGTAATTAACCACTCAAGAAAAGACCCAAGGTGAAAACTGCCTCAGCTTGAATTGCATGTGTGTCTACTATTCGAGTCAAAAATATTATTCTTGATTAGTTGAGACATGATGCAACAGTTGAGGCTATTTTATCCTAAATAAATTATACATCAGACAAGTTTTATCTCTTTGTTATTTCGCTGCTTGATAACCAGCTTTGGTTACAGCTTCCCCCCCCAGTACATTGTGAGTAAAGTTTTGCAAGCTATTTTTATACTGGATGAAAAAACTAAACTTGACAAGTGACCATTTTCAGCAGATGATAACACACGCAATGAAAAATACAACTTAAGAACAGACTTCATTTAAAGTTAAACCATAAGTAGAAAAAATAAGGTGTGGGTTATAATGTTATACTGCAAAGTTTTATACAATAAATGAAGCAAAAGCAGTCCCACCCAAGTGCAGAAGTATAGTCCATCAAAAGTGGAGCAATTCTGACGAAAGTTATGGTCTGTATTCTTCCAATTCCAAGAACCAATGCTTCCTTGATATTTGAATTAAAATAATTACAGACATACTACAGCAGAATTGTAGCCAAATATGACAATATCTTTCAGCTCTTATTTTTCATAGTTCTACCAGGTTGAGGTACAAATATATTACTTAATTAATTAAACAGTTGATAAACAAGGTGTTCAAAAACTCTTGGTACAATTTTGTTATGAACCAAATTTTCAATATACCTTATACAGGTATATATTTTCTAGATATCACTGTGACATTGTTTTGAGCAAGCTCTGAACCTGCTCTCTTGTGTTTTCTGGTGAAGTGACTGTTTCACCGACTGTTTTCGGGTCTTCAAAAATTTCGTGATCATTCCCACCTGGCATTGTTTTGTCACCAAAGAAATAAATTTTCTTAAAATTTTCATGTTCAATATGTTTTAGGCAATAACGTTTATCCCAACCATCTGGAAAAACATCAAAACTAATCTGTCCACCAATGGAAAATGTCATTCCCTTGCCTTTAAACTCTTTACGTAGAGTTTCAACAAAGTCTTTGCGGATATTGTGCTTCTTGTCATACTCAAAGAAATCTACTCGTTCTTGCTGTGAGCAGCTACGTCCAACAGGGCATACATTGAGCATACCCTTCCTGAATTCAATAAAAGTTCCTCGTTTTACTGGCAACTCCAAATTTGCCATGTATTTGAGACAGAAGTTGATAAACTTTTGAATAAGCTCTTCACCTAGATGAGATTGTATATTCGCTTCATGAATAAGTTTCCCATCTTTGTAGGCAACAAGTCCATTCTCTGAGAACAGATAGTCATAGCTTTTTGCAACTTCATCAGCAGAAGATCCAAGTTGTTCGGTGATTTTTGAAAGATCGGAACCGCCAACAATTCCAACAACGACTTTTTCGCGAAGATGGCGCATGAACTCTTTCATTTCATTGGAAATTTTTTGCCTAGGCGCTGTGAGAGTTCCATCAACATCAAAAAGGAATATAACGTCTGTATTTCTGCATGTCATATCGCCCATTATACTTTATCTAGCACCCAAATTCTGAAATTACAGCCAAAAACTTGCGATCGCTGGCAATATAGAATAGGTTATTCCTGTCGACGTGTTTGGCATAACGTGTGATCGAATTTGATTGGTTGCCTGGGGGTACACGCCCACGAAGCTCAATCGACCGAAGAATTTTGATTTTCAGTAAAACACATTTCTGTAAAACATTCTTAGTTCCAGAATATGTTACAATTTTAAATTGATGAGGTAAATACAAAAACGAGTAAATAAAAATACAAAACAACGTATCATTTATTTTCGGTCTGCAATTGTTCTATTTAGTCAAACCGTGGTTGTGATTATTTTGTGAAGTCCGATGCATTGTTTTCATTCCTGTCTGGGTGAAGATATAATTTCAGGATAGGATTTTCATGATATTTACATTAAATAACAATTTTTCATGTTATAAGTAAATAAATTAAACAGGCAAATTGAAAAAATATAAAATTGAGCATCATTTATGTTCGGTCTGCAATTGTGATGTTTAGTCAAACCGGAGTTATGATGATCTTGCAAAGTCGACTGCTCTGACTTTATATCTCTTCGTTTGTTTTGCTTGCAATTCATAAATTACAGAATTATGCTAAGCTGTATGTAAGATTTGTTCTGGCATTGCGCGGTAGTAATTTTTTTCACCATTTTCGTCTATAAGAATCAGAAATGTCTCTCACGCCTTCAGAATCGTTGGCTCAAATCTCCTCTGCACAAAAAGACGAGTTTTACCTCAATTATCTGAGAGGTCTGTTCAATGATGGCACGAAAAAGATTTTCGGGCCACAAACAACAATAAGATGGAGCAAAGAAATCCAATTACTGTCGGATATGGCCTATTTTGGACTCACAACTTTGGGAGACTTGCAGACATTAGGAGAGGAATACACTCAAATTATTCAAGTTGGTCCCACAATGAACCGGCTGCCGAGTCGTTTTAGTAGACTTATAATGATTGCTCTTCATACTTTATTACCATATTTAATTGACAAATTTCTATGCCATCTTGAAAACAAACTTGCAAAAAGCGAACATTTACATAATCACACAAATTTGCAGGATATGGTACAAAAAGTTAGATTAATTTTTAATGTTTTGAACCGTTTACATTTATCTGTTTTCTATTTGCAAGGGATATATCACACCATGTCAAAAAGATTTGCTGGCATTCAATATGTCAAATATAACCTCCCTGGAATGTCACAGCAGCCTGAAAGCTCGGCTTTCAAGCTCCTAGGTTATATGTCCTTAGTACAATCATTGATCGCACTAGCTATGCATGTTATTTCTATTCGCAATGATTTAAAGCCAGTAATAAGCAATAGCGAAGCTGAAAAATTTGGCATCAGTCATTCAAGTAAAGCTTCCATAATTGAAGAAGACAAACCCGATATGAAATGTAGTTTATGTTTAGAAAAGAGAAATCGTACAACTGTGACCCCTTGTGGGCATTTATTTTGTTGGAAATGTATTCATTCCTGGATAAATACGAAACCAGAATGTCCGATTTGTAGAGAAAGCTTGAAGCCAAATAAACTTGTTTGCTTAATGAATTTTGAATGAGTATTTAGTACTAGATGCAATAATTCACAATTGTTAATCTGTTTTGAAAATAGATTGCATTTTGTTATCACAGACATATAATACAACACCCACCAGCTTAAATCCTTATTAGACTCGTGTTATTTATATTCTATATCACAAAATGAGATTTCTACAATACCTCTCAGATTGTGTTTGTGTCATTTTTTGTTGTGGCTCGAAAATTTTGTGTTCTGATTATGCGCTCAGGTGCAACATTTTTGAGACACCCTATTTTTGTACTAAGATGAAGTTATCTATCTGTATTAATAAATTATCTGTCTATTGAATATGAAATATATTCCAAAACCTTCAAGAAATAATATTTACTTAACTTTAAGGTCTGTTTGTAAAAGTGCTCGAACATCAAAAATTGCCAGTTCTGATTTTTCATGTGTTGATCAGCATAGCCAATACCAATTTTGTCGTTTGAATTATTCAAAATCATCACTACCAGTGTATTCTGATGGGTGGTTCTGAGCTTCCCACACCTTTGAAAGGTATCTGAGAATCACATTTTTGTAATATGATAACTTGTAGGTTTCTGAAACACCCACTTCAATGACTGCTCTCACTGAAATTTGACTCTAAATAATTGTTTCATTTCTTCAATTATCATGTAATTCATAGACTTGCATTTAAGTGTTTCCATATACCAATCTAAAAAACGGCATGATCCGGACTTAGGTCTGAGCTGTGAGAGATATGTTTGTTCTAACAATGCTATAACAATAGTCTTACTTCTGTCCACCTTTCTACCTACTTTTTGGAATTTCATGCTCTAATCATACTGTGAACGAATTGGAATCAAACCTTCTATGCAGTGCAGTAATAATTTTTTCCAATATCTTATTCTATTAATTGTTTTGCGATGTAATGAATAAATAATGTATGCAGATATATACCCGAATTACGCCATTTACTTTGAAATATCGGTCTCATTTTTCACAGGACAGGGCATCAGTTGCGAATTCCAAACAATGGGACATTTTCAAACATTCACTATTAAACACCCAAGTACTTTTGAGTAATAATAATACCCGAAATATGATACATTTTCAAATCTGATTCTTTCTAAAATCATGAATTGGCAACATTGAATATCGGCAAATTACGAATGAATGTATGTTCGGTTCTTGGACACTACATAAAGAAATGTCCTAGAAAAGCTCTGGTATGGTAGGCTAAAAGTAGCTGTAACCAAAACACTCTAAAATAATTGTCAAAACTTTCGCAATAGTAAGATAAGTTTTCTAGGGTCTGGGTAATGTATCACGCCTTCCTTGAACAGGAGAACCATACCGTGCCAGCGTTTACACACACCATAACCATGGCTGTGATGACCTTGTTGCATCTAACAGTCTGTGTTGTGGGTTTGAGATCCCATGTTCAATCACTTCAACTATAGTGAACATTCTTCTTGCAGAGCGTTACTTGCTCCTAAGGTGAAACTGCTCTATGATAAAATATCCTGTCAGTTTGAAAACCACGTTCAATCATAAAAAATAGGGTAGCCCTTTGTATCAATACCTCCTCTTGCAGAGCATTACTTGCAGCTAAAGTGTGCAACTGCTCTATAATGAAATATCCAGTCAGTTTAAAAACCACATTGAATCCTAAAATTCCCCATGATTGTAGAAAAATAAATATCAAAATTTCAAACAGAGAAATTTATGAAAAATTGCTAAAAAAAATCACACCTTTTGATGAAAAGCATTTATAAAAACAAAAGAAACAATAATCAATCAATAAACTTGACAGCTGTTTAGAAATCCAAAAATGTGCAGTGGAAACCTACTGAAGAGTTAAGCTTCATCAGGCGATGTTAACAAGTTCCAGTGTGCTGACCAACACTGCATGTCTAGTACAGTCTTGTCGGTCAAATAAATATCTTTTGGGCTATGACAAATATAAATCTTCGTGCAGATGGATGAATTCATGTCAAATGAGATCCTTCTGCACAAAAGGCTTCCTCACCAACTGACATATATGGCTTTGTGTGAAACAGATTTTGTAAACAACTCGTGACTACGAATATCACTCTAGGTCAGGGGTGGGCAAATTATGGCCCACTGGTCAGATCCGGCCTACCGAAGTTTTGCATTCAGACCACTTGTGCTTAAATTATGACTATAGTTTTTATGGATATAAGTTTTAAAGTTTGGGGATAATTGCGCATAGTTCAAATAAAAAATAAAGTAACTTTGCTTGAAAAAAATGAGTTGAATAACGATGAAAATAATGAATCGTCAGCCGATTTCCCACATGTCATCTGCACCTGCGTATACTGTGCCACTTGGTACAATAGATGTTTACGGTTTAATCATATGACGAACCATGACCTCTCATCTGGTTACTAGTCCATGTCGGGTATGGAATTAGTTAGCCAGTTATTTGTTTTCGAATACATGGGCTTGATGATGATAAACTGGGCATACAAAGTGGGAACCGTGGTAAAAATGATTATCATTGAAGTTTTTTCAATTTGAAAACACGAGCCCAAAACATACAAGCTTGTATGAAACAATTTTCCTTCAAGTAGTGTCCATGTCACCGTTACTTCTAGAATAAACCATATCTTGTATTATTTCTTCAATATTGCTGCCTTCTGAGCTGCTAACAGGCTGCGAATGAAAAAAAGGCAGATTCACAAATTAAAAATTTAAATTGCGATAATTGGTTAAAAGAGATACCATGAAAAAAGTATAAAACAGAAGATACTTGGTAATTTAGAGCTAAGATCTGAAGCCCGAGCCAGACTTTTTGGGTCGGGTCGGGCTTCTCTATCGCTGATTTTTTTTTAATAAATATATGTTTATTAAAAAATATATACTTAAACTATGTGTGGATACTAATAAAAGAAATACTTGTTATAAAAGAAATAATTTGGATAAAACAGAGAAGAAGCTGTAATGGACCTTTCCCCGACCTTTGACGCCCGAAAATATTTTTCCTATACCTTACCATACCCGGCTCGGGCTTGCAAATCTAGTTAATTACGCGGGGTCTGGTCGGGTTTGATACCCACGGGCCCAAGTCAGGTCGGGATGGAATTTTTGGGCCCGATCTTACCTCTACTTGGTATCCAAAAATTCCACCCAATTGATAACCAAATTAATCATAAGAGAATCCTTGTCATATCAGTGTTTTTTACTCGATACATCGAACCCTATAAGGCAGTGATATTGAACCTTTTATCGCTCGTGGCCCCCATCCGAGGCTTTTTGCACTCATGGCCCCCTGTTTATCATTCCGGTGGTATTTACCGGTAGATTCCAAACCCCATTATGTTCACACACTTTATGTTCAACAAAGTGAAAAAACCATGTTAAATGACTTTTTTTGAGAAATTGAAACTAGGAAGGACAAGAAGTTTCTTGTGAAGTTCAAATAAAATCAGTTTTGCGCCTTGCACACGTGGCCCCCTTGCAACTGCTCTATGTCCCCTTTGGGCGGGCCACGGGCCCTTGGTTGGGAACTGCTGCTATAGGGTATAATTTTGTCAGAGGATTTCCGCATCGCTGGTCAGATGTGGTTTCTTTGAACAATCAAAGACCATGTACCTGCTATTTATCCCCATACTAGTAACTGGACCAGTGGTACTCAAGCAATGGAGCGTGCCCCACAAGTCTAGACAATATTTTAAGGGGATGTGATTTTTAAGTGGGACGTGATTTTTGATTTTTTTTTAAGGGGAAGCTGACTAAAAATGTAAATATTTGTTAGATTTGATCATTTACATTTCTTTATTTATTTTTCCTAATTCAGTCTTTCTTTATTCTTGAGGTGGGAGGCAAGACTTGAGAAATTCTAAAATGAGGGCGTGGCTTATAAAGTTTGAGAACGATTGAACTAGACAAGGCCATGGTCCACCATTATGAGTAAGCTAAAAATCAAAATCTTACTTCATGAGATCTCATATGCCTCCTTAAATCATGTCGCACGGCGAATGTTTTGTGACAAACTCGACATATTAAGGAACGATCACCTGTGTGTTTGCTTTCGTGCCGTTTAAGATTAATCTGGAAAAGTAATACATTATTTGACAGGATTTTTAGTGCAACGTTCACGTTACTTTTATTTTAAAGACTTAAAGCAGGGGTATGCAACCTTTAATACAGGAGGGTCAGATAGAAATAACTGAGTAAAATGATGGGCTGCACCTTAACATAGGCTGAAATTTCGGTTATTGATCTTGTGACATGCAGCATGCGGATCAGGCCCGCGGGCCGTAGGTTGCCGACCCCTGTTCTAGGTATAGCAGGTGTACCAGGTTATGGTTAGGCCATGATTTCAGGTACAAATACTATGGGAGTCACTTGGCTAGTCCCCAAACTCATAAAAGAACTAAAATAAGAAGAATTGGAATAAAACTATGGCCTAATCCCAACCTGGTACACATAGTACGTTCCGGTGTTCGCCATCTTGGTTCACATACTTCGGGAGTACCCCCTGGGTAAAGTAGCAGACATGAGGTTTGCATATCTAATTTACAAAAGGCCTCGGTTTATCACATAATGAAAGTGTTTTACAGCTTTCCTAAATAAATACAACTCTCCTATCACTAAATTTGAGTTGGGTTGCGCGAGACTAACTTCCTATCTTTTCTCTATGCCTTTATGCTAGTGGATCCGTACGCGTATACTGCAAGGATACTGTAGCTGGAATAAACATGACTATTCTATCCAATTAAAGAGTCCAGCTGCACACTAACACAAATGTATTTCTGTAACGTTTCGTCCGACCAGAGTCGGACTTCCTCAGACAAGCAGTTTACAACCAAAAGTTTTCTCCTATCACTGCTCACCTTGCTAGCTACAGCCAATCCACAAAACGAGCATACATGTCTCTTCTCGCTCGAGTGGGTCCTCATATGATCATGTAAATGTGAAGATTGAGCAAATTTGCGACCACATTTCGAGCATTTGTGAGTAGCTTTCTTGAGGTGGTGAGAATTAATATGAAGCTGAAGTAAAGTGAAAATTAAAGTGTGATTCGAAAATAATAACTAAAGTTTGTGGAGTTATTTTGAAAGCAGTGTGCTGATATAAAAATTACGATGTTCCCGAAGTATGCGAACCAAGATGGCGGACATCGGAACGTAACATGGGTAACAGGTTAGGGTTAGGCGATAATTTTTTTCCAATTTTCCTTATTTTAGTCCTATTATCAGTTCGAAGACTAGCCAAGAGCCTCCCGTAGTATTTATAGCTAAAATTATGACCTAACCCTTACCTAGTACACATATTACATTCCGATGTCCGCCATCTTGGTTCGCATACTTCGGGAGCCCCAAAATTACATCCAATGTATGTTCTGGGGTTAGGACAGAAATGAAACTTCAAGCAAGAAAAAAAATATGTTTAGGAGTCTAATATATATAAATGTATAATGATCAAAACTGTAACTTATCATTATTGTATGTCAATGGGGGTGGATATATTATATGACGTCTGCGCTACTTGAGCCCCGTTAAAAGCAAAAGTTAGAAACACCTCATGAAAAAAAATTTGCATCATTTGCAGACTACAACTACAGAACGAACCAGGCATAGTCACCTTTAATCCCAGTTTTGAACTGTAGGTTTTATCACATTCTCCGCACTGGAAAGGTTTAGCAGCCGTGTGTGTCCTGAAGTGATTGTTCAAATCCCGATCATTTGAAAACACACTGAAAAGCACAAGGCAAATCATAACAAAAATAGTTAAAAGTAGAACTGGACAAAATTTATATGACCATTTTTATGCATGTCATGTAGATGTAGACAATATATGACTTAATGTCTATCAATAGAAAAGTCATGATCTATACCAGGGGTGTGCAACCTTTAATACCAGAGAGCCGGATACAAAACCTGGTTGAAATCACCGCACCCTTATTTAACACAGGCTTCCTAGTAGTTGCACACACAAATATTTTGGGTATTGATCTTGTGACACGCGTAGTTCGCTTCGCACAAGCTAGCTGTTGGGGTTATGTAAAGTTCTAGGTCGGGGGTCGGCAACCTACGGCCCGCATCCGGCCCGCGAAACACTATAATCCGGCCTGCGACGCTTCACTGAATTATAGTAACAAAACATCCGTTTTGATGAATATATTCTTTAGACTAAATTATATTATAACCTGACAATTATATATTTCACAATTACTCGTTTAATGAGCATATACCAGGGGTGAGCACAATTTTTTAGTATAAGAGCCGCATGCTGCAAGTCAGAACTTTAAAAGAGCTGCAGAATTTGTGAATTTATTTTTATTAGAATACCATGAACAAAGAAGAAATTTACACACGGGTCTTATAACAATAAATAAATAAACAAGAGAGCTATGCTCAAATATATGGACATGCAGAGTATTTTGCCAATTTCCGAAAATCATATGCGATAACTTTCCAATATCGGGGTCACTTCTTTATATCCAGATTAGGTCCCACAGTCCACGTCGCCAAGCACCAGATCCACCGGCAAACGCCGAGCGCAGAATCAGCTGATGTGTGTCCGCAGAAAGTTCGGTGACGAACCATCTCACAATACAACACAAAGAGACATCTCTCGGTGAATCTCCTAACTCCAAATCTTCAACAAAATTACGAAACTGATTGTGGGTTTTGCCAGACAAGCGAATAAGTGCGTTTTTTATATAGACTCTTTCAATACAAGCAGGTCCAAAAGCTCTTCTTTCACAATCATATCCCGAGGAACATAGCGAACGAATACTGATAGCTGTGGATTATCTTCTATATCAGTTGATGCGCCTTCGTGTAGTACGGCGCGAAACCGGCGTTTGGGCTATTAGTCGCTGAAGCTTTGTGTTGTTGGGATCCAAGACTGCGACAACATCAGCAATAATTTTTTTCACAAAATCGGAGTCAAGAGTATGGGTGTTTAGCCAAATGATAACATAAATTTCAGCCGTCTTTTTAGTAACAATTCGAGCTCATTTAATTTGTGTTTCCTCATAGCTGATTTACGAGGGTAGTCTCGTAAGAAGTTTTCATGATTCGTTTTATGGTGCCGTTTAACATTGCTGACTTTATTCTGACTTAGTAGCTTATGACAGATTAAGCACAATAGCTTATGACAGATTAAGCACAAAGGTTTATTCTCCTGACAAATGCGTATTCTTCTTCCCATTCTGACTTGACAACTCTGTTCTCATCTTTTTACTTCGTTTCTTAATTGAGGACATATCGCACATTAACTGAGACTCACTAACCGCAATCTAGTTGCAATAACGCCAGCGCCTCAGTAAACATTGACTATTGTGACGTAAGATTTGTCGCTTGACTGACTTAAATTCAAAATTCCACACTACAACGATTTTCATAGTTAAACGTAATTTGTCTTAATCATTGATGAAAACTTTACAACTTTTGATAAATTAAAAAAAGTTTACATTTCAGTTTTCTCTTAGTCAATATATGAATAATAAATTTATGTTAGCGAGAAGAGCCGCACAAAAAGTCTCGCGAGCCGCGGTGTGCCCACCCCTGGCATGTACTTTAATTATAATTAAGCAAATGGCAACAAAACGCAGAAAAGTTGATGCTAAGTGCAAAGGGTTCAATGGCGCTAAGTGCAAAGGGTTCAATGGCGCTGAAAATATTCAAATGGAATTTCATGAGATGCAATGAGGAAATAAATCTATATTATATCCGAGAGATGTATCACTGCTTGATTTTTATTATAAAAAGTACCATCCGTTCGGTCTTTCAACTTTCTAAAAATATGTGCGACCCGCCCAATGACTTGCGAGCGACAAAAGATTGCCGACCCCTGTTCTAGGTAATAAATTGGCCTCAGATATAAGCTTTGCAACCCAAGAAATTGGAATTACTCGCACAAAGAAAATTGAACTAAAACTCGTTTAATTAAACTGAAACCAGAATAAACTCGTTTCGCGGGTTGCATGCTATTTAAAATTTGCGCTATTCCGCAGGCCCCCAAATTTTCCTTTGTGGGCCGCATTTAGCCTGAGGGCCCCAGGTTGCACACCCCTGCTCTATTCTGTACTCTAGGTGTTACTGAAAATCTGTTTGCACGAACATATAGCAGTGGTGTCTCTCTAAACACCACAAATGGTGAATCTCTCGTGCTCAGGTGACTGTGGGCAGATTTATTATTCAGTAGTGCTCATTTATGACTTTACAGTTGACCGAGCGATATTGGTATATACCTTATTAAATAGGGTGTCCATGAAGTCTTGAAACTTTTTAAATTGCAAAGGAAATTTATCGATACCATATATTGTTTTGGCCCTCACAGATGTATTAAATGAAGTAAATATACTTGAACAATTACTGTTTAGAAAACAACAAACCTGGTTAAGATTAAGATACAGTGAGAACTGACTTCATAACCAAATTGAAATAGTAAATGTACTTTACGGACACCCTATGCTGAGGAAGTCAAAAATGAAAGCTACAGAACTGCAATGGTATGCTAGTGTTTATGGTTTTTAGACATCAAATGTATTTACAGACCTCCCACATGTCTGGCACTTGTATGGAACTTCATCCAACATATGACTGAATTTGATGCAGTGGTTGTAAAGTTTGACTTTCAATCTGAAAAATTTAACACACTTTAAAAAAAAATTACTGGCTCATTTCAAAAACATATATTTGTGTTAGTTTGCAGCAAGGCTCTTGAATCACATAGAATGGCCATCTTTATTCTTAATATCTAGATGCAGCAACTTTGCAAAATAAGCTTTGCATTGGATCCAATGGTGCAAAGGCATAGAGCAGGGGTCTGCAGTCTACAGCCCACAGGCCAATACCGGCCCGCGGAGTGAAGTAATCCAGCCCGCGTTGCTTCACTGAAATTTAGTGACTAAACGGGTGGCTGCGAATTTTCACCATAATTTAACATTACAAAGAACAAACAGAGAACTAGGATTAGTGATGCCCATTCAGAAAATGTTCCAATCTTGGCTTCATGCAGTGTGCCCCCTGAAGTTGAAAAGCTATCAAGCGTGATGCAACAAGTGTCATATTAAATAAATATCATTTGTAATTTTCTTGGCTAGAAAAACGACTTGAGTTCACAAGTCTGTGCTCATTATTCAAAGTCTTGAATTTCAACTTCTGATCTGTGTAAAAAATGTAAATCATCAGCCACCCGTTCGGTTTTTAACTTTCTTAAAAAAGTATGTGCGACCCGCAAAGATTTCAACCCCTAATTTTGGCCCGCGAGTGACAAAAGGTTGCGGACGCCTGGCATAGAGCATAGTTAGTCTTGTGAAACCTAACATATGCTCCAAATCAACAGGCTCCTGTTTTTTTTTCACTATGTTTCGATAAAAAAACAAGAAGTACCTGAATTCTTCTCCGCACACATTACAGGAATGCTTTAAATTCCCAGCTTCTGTGTGAGTTAGGATATGTTTCTTCAATGGCAAACGATGAAGAAATTTCTTTCCACAAAACTGAAGAAATAATATTGCCTGTTTATTGTAAACATCGCTATATTGCTACTGTTCTAAGAGGCCGTGGCTAAGATATTCATAGGAATAAAATATGGTCATGTTTTACGCATCCTGTGATTTTTTCATGACACTCATACATGGATTTTGCTCTTAACAAGGCCCTGTACAAGCAGTCAAAAACAAATGTTATGTGAGGAACCGATATATTTGGAAGGATGCAGATTTGGGTTTGTTAAGGTTCGAATCCCATACAAAAATAGTTATGTGCAAGAGGATTGCTGGACTCCTCGCCACCACTGGTCGGTAACGGCTTCCTACACCATCAAGTCCATGCTTGGCCGGGTTTCTCCATATGATTAAGCAGTCTTATCGGCATTCCCAGGATAAATATGTAAATCCCATCCTACCCATAACCAACTAGCGCCACAAGAACCATTTAAGACCACAAAAAGACTATTACCAACTCGGATGGTATTCAAGACTAGCTATTTTAGCTAACAACATACGGTGAATAGACTAGTATGTTCCTAACTCTTAACGTGTATCCACAAATGTGGCTTGACAGGGATGGCAAAACTTCCCTGCAAAATGATTCACAAACTATATTTCATTATAAAAAGTATCCCCAACTCTAACATAGGGTGACTTGTGACTCCCCTATGGCATTTTTTTAAGAGATTTTGGAAATATAGTGAAAATATCTCTACACGAAAAAAATCTTACCTGGCAAGTCAGGCTATCATCAGCAGTGTGCACTTTCCGATGATTAGTGAAACACTGTTTACTTGTGTAAACCTTCTTGCATTCTACGCATTCATATGAAATTCTCTTACTACGGGGCTCACAGGTGTGGAATGCACAGTATTCTATGGAATTGAAAACCTGGAATAGTAAAAAAAAGGATAGTCGATCATGAAATCGTTTAAACTTAGTGGCGACTATGGGTAACTGCAGAGTTTTGAGATGGATAAATTATCATTCTGCTATTTGAAACATTTGACAGTTTATGTGATGATGTTATTGTCTGGTTATGAGTCAAGGATCTGTATATGACAAAAAACAGGTAATTGCAACAGATTTGTGAACTTGGATAGACAGGAAAGGCTTTTTTTTCAATTTCAAAAGGGGGGTTTCCGACCCTGGGGGTTCCCCCCCCTGGATACACTCGTGATGTAGTACATGGATTCAAATGAGGATTCAATTCACACCAATGAGGTGTTTTCACATTTTTACATCTCTAAGGCTCCCCTCTAAATCAGCAATAATGACGGAGCAATACTTTTATGAAAAATCGAGATTTTGAAACATCTGGAGCCAGAAGTCTAAGATGATGAAGTTGTAATCAAAAATTAGGTAACAAGTAGGCAAGCAATCCTCTTGTGCATACTTACCACATAGAATTTGAACTTTCAAACCATCTTTGGGTAATCAGTGGAACAATGCCGACATAGTTTTTAGTACAAATGTTCCAACTATTGATAAAATGGACAAATTAAATTTCTGGCCCATACTGTAATTCTATGTATTAGGTAGCTCCCCGTATCTAGGGCCACCATCTTATTTTTTAATAGCTCTCAGAGAAAGACATGTACATTTTGTTTCACCAAAAAGACTTATAAAGTCTACAAACTTACCCTGTTACATTTCTGACAATGATGAGATTTCTCGTGTTCTCGTAACATTGATAAATTTTCACATTTCATTGCACAATATGAACAGGTATCAGAAATTTCATCTGCAAAATATAAATTTTGTGAGACTCCAGTAAGAACAAAGCTAGTTGGATATTGAGTTTAAGATATTCTTGTGTGGAGTGCGTAATTCCACAGGGCGAAAGCTCAAGAACACTGAGAACACTGGTCTAAAGACTTGCTTGAAGGGCAAGTTGAAAACAATCTATAAAAACTTCAAATAAAGTCATGAAATGCTTTAATTCTTGGGTAAATTCGAATCTACAAAATCAAAAATCTATGCAATAATTATTTATAGTCTAAGTATCTCTTGGTACTTTTATGGCCGATCGTAACTTTGCTCATGGATTAATAATCTCCTTCATTTCTGAGTTCACTCGACCTCGCAATTCTTTGGCGCAAAAGCTCAGGAAATGTAAGAACCCCCTGTCTAAATAAAGCTTTCTTTGAAGTGAAACATGGTATTCATAAAAACTTTAAATACAGTCACGAACTGTTTTAATTTTCGTGGAATCTACAAACGTACAAATCGACGCAAAAATTAAGTATCTCTTAGCACTTTAGTGGCTGCCGGTAACTTCTCTCAGAGATTAATCCCCTTTATTTTTAAGTGATTGTGCAATACCTTGCTTTGATCATAATTCCAAAAAGAATAAAATTTGTGGAACGTCTACCTGGATTCACAGTGTTTAAGATATTCTTGCAAATATGGTCGGCTTCATTTTCTTTTGTGGAAAACGACACACCGCAGTCTTTGCATGGAGGTATTTCGTCTAATTGGCCGTGGCGAAATAAAGCGTAATGCTCTGATAGACTGCTGGAGTTGTTGAATGCCTGGTAATAAAAGAAATATGTTTTTATCAATTATTTTATCGACCCTCTTGTTGATTATCAAGTCAAAATTAACTTATATAATATGATTAGCTGGTCTAATATCGCCACATCAGGCAAGGAATGATGAGCTTGGTTCTCTATTAAGCCATCTTACTTCCTTTCTCAAGATATATATGGAAATCCTATCTCTATATCAAAGTGGATCCCAACCGGGGGCCCCGTGGCCCACCAAGGGGGCCACCATGCTGGGCGCAAAACTGACTTCACTTTTCTCTTTACAAGTAAACTCCCTGTTTTCCTAGTTTCATTGCTTGATAAGATTATTTCACAGGGTGTTTTTCCTTTGAGCATGAATTGTTTGAACATAATGTGAATTGGGATCTACCAATCAAAATAACAATATAAAATCTCCGGAATGTTAAAGAAGGGGGGGGGGGGGGGGCATGAGTGCCAAAAACCTCCAGAAGTGGGCTAAGAGCCATAAAAGGTTGGAAAGCACTGCTATATCATAAAAACAACAGCGTGGTTCCGAGAGTAGGTGTAAAAATAATTAATTACTGTTTATCTTTGCAACTATAACGGGCAACAATAATATTGCAACTATAACTACAACTTACTATAACATACCTTGTGGCAGTCCAAGCATTTAAATTTCTTTGGTGACATATTTACTTCTTTTAAATGACAGTTGGTGTCTGAATAAAAAATATTCTCATATCAAAATGCACAGAATATTTAAAACTCTACTTCATGATTGGGGGGGGGGGGCCGAATAGAAAAAATTGCAAACATTTACAAGAGAGCTGTTTGGCTTTTTCGAATGAAAGTCTCAAAAATGTTTAAAAAATTTGTTCGAATGATTTTCAGAAAAAATTTAACCACAATTACATAAAACGTAATTAAAAACAATTACATACCATTGGATTCCACTACGACTGTTACTGGCTCTTCAATCTCTGCATCTGGAACAAAAAATTCAGTTTTAAAATAAATGCTAATATGCAGTAGACAACAGGAATGTGAGGTCAATTGTAAGTAGGAACATGCATAAGTTAAGTTATTCGACTCATCACTGCATAAGGTCATAAGCAATCATTGAAATGAAGAAGTTGCTTCAATTCGCGCTAATGATGTCTAATGGTGTCTGCTAGGCTAGCTACTTATCCTTCTTTTGTGTCGGTGGATTCGTATGCATATAATGCAAGGATGATGTAGCAAGAAAAAAAATAACTAACTACAATATTCTATAGTAAATCCTTCAGACACACACATTTGAAGAAGGTTTTATATTCTGAATAGTAAGTTATATTAATTATGACCATCCATCTCCAAGACTTGAAACATGTTAGAAAATGCCTTGATAGAAAATTCTTTAGACATCCTCAAACATGATCATTGGTGCAATGTCATGTATATTACAGAGAAAAAATGTTCTAAGCATGAAAAAAGGCGCTCCAGAAGTGTGTGTACGGAGGTAACTAATTTTATTCGCCTATTTTACATAGATAAGTTGTGTGAAGGGACTGAAACCCATGGGCAGGGGGTATATACACTTGGCTAACACAGACAGTCACTGAACTCGTAATAGAAATAAAATCGAAATAAAATTATGACCTAACCTGGTACACACACTACGAGAGAACCGAAAAAATTACTCTAATGCAACTTCTGGCAACACTCTTACCATCAATTTCATCTTGCTTTTCGTTATAAACTCTACAGATATCAATAAGACTTTGAATTTCATATTCTTTTGAAAACTTTTCAACCTGAAACAAGGAAACATTATTTTTGCTTTTGGGTTTTCCATACAGTCAGCCAATCATGTTCAGATTCAACTTCATTTTAGTCTGGATAGTACAGTTTAGAAAGTAAGAAGCAAATAGTGGTGCTCCTGAAGTATGCGAACCAAGATGGTGGACATCGAAACGTAGCATGGGTAACAGGTTAGGGTTAGGCCATAATTTTATTCCAATTTCCCTTATTTTAGTGCTACTATGAGTTCGAAGACTAGCCAAGTGCCTCTCGTAGTATTTATACCTAAAATTATGGCCTAATCCGAACCTAGTACACATATTACATTCCGATGTCCGCCATCTTGGTTCGCATACTTCAGGAGCCCCCAAATAGTCTTATTTCCAATTACTTTACATAAAAAAAGACATAAAAAGGAACAGAGCTATCCAGACCAGATGTTTTAGCGCAGTGGTTCTCAAACGATGAGGAGCGCTCCACACTTTGGGGGTGCGTAAACAATTTTTTCAGGTGGCATGGAGCCACCAATTAAAAATAAAAATAATTGTTAGATTTGATCTTGTTTTGGATATTTGCATTTCTTTATTTTGAATAAAACATACTTTCGCCTTTCTACTGTTTATTGTTAGCAAGGTATTTCACCCCTTGTTTCGCCGTCCGCTACATGCGACAGACTGTTGCTGTTGGAGTCATCAAGGAAACTATCAACAAGGGGTTTAGCAAGGTGTGATGAAGTGCAAGACTCGACAAATTCTAAAAAGGGGGCGCGGCTTGAAAAGTTTGACAACCACTGTTTTACAGCACTTATGATTTCTCAATTATTTTACACTTGCCAACAATTCACAATGCAGTCTCATACCATGTTTCATAACCAACAATTTTTGGCAAGAAAATCTACAAAATTAAAAGCAAGGCTATAGCGTCAAATTTTTTTTATCTAACTCAGAGCTATCACAAAACCAGAATCTAAAACTAGGTTTCAGCAGAAATGGTGATCCTGATTTTCAGTTGAAAATATTTATCACCACAATGCCCAAGAAATAACACTCAGATATATTATACCCTTACCTGTTCGAATTTATCTTGAGGAATCTCAATCTGCCCAGTATAAAGAAACTTCAGAATTCTTTCAAACATTTCAGGTTTGATTCCAGAATATGGAAGCTTTACTGTATCATCTGGCATGCCCCGTGCAAAAGGTATGTGACATGAGGCTTGCTAAAATGTCCAAAAGGGATGCAAAATTTCAATACATTCAAAAATATGATATATTTGATAAGTAAATTCTTGATTTAGAATATTTTTATTCGAAAAGTCCTCATTTTGAACATTTATTATTAGATGCTTGAGCCAAAATTGAGACTTCTGGTATCAGTTATAACAACGCTTGGTCGTTAGGATTAAGGCATAATTTTGTTCCGATTTTCCTTATTTTAGTTCTATTACGAGTTTAGGGACTGTCTGTGTTAACCAAGTGAATATACCCCCTGCCCATAGGCGTCAGTCCCTTTATACAACTTGATGTAAAGTAAGCGAACAAAATGAGTTACCTCCATATTGGTACACACACTTTTGGGGCGCCTGTCTAATCATCTAATATGGTTTTAAAAATCATTCCATACAGAATTCGAATCTGCGAACCACACAGGATAAATAGATCAAGTGTTTTCCTAAATTTTTAGGACTATACGCAAAATTCACCATCTATATTGTCGTATGATAGCATCACATACTTACATTAGAAACTTTTCCCTCTTCTGTCTTGTGATCGCCATTTAGTATGTCGTTCCCACTAACTCTGAAATTTAAAATGTTCCACAGCCAATTGGGGATATTAACATACATTGATAAGGAATTAAAACAAATATATATTTTTTCAACTGAAGAATGGTGAGCTACTATTGAATTACCAAAATAAGGATGACTCCTAACATATTTTTCCCAACAGAAATTTCCGCAATATTCAGATACTTAAAATTATAATACTTTGAACTTATAAAAATATTATTAAGGTACAGTTTACAAAAAAAAATTGGAACGTGCTTCTGACTCCTCGCTAACCTAAACCAAGCGTTAATACTACGAAGATCTGTAGTAACAGATTATATGGAAAGAGAGATTCATTATTTCGTCAACCAAAATATACAGTCATCAATAAAATAGCAACAGCAATAAAATTGTTTTAGTATGGACAGGAGGGAGCGATACGACCCTACGGTCATCGAGGACAGCTTCCAGCCAGGAATGGCCATAGCCGAATACCAAACTATTCCGAAAAATCATTTTCGAATCTGTAACTCCGAATACATTTGAAAATCCCCGATATATTTTATTCACTTTCCTAAAATCCATGGACATAGTAATTATTAGGCTTAATAATATTATCATTGTAAGCAATTAATACAAATGGAATGTGTGATAATATTGAAATTAGTAGTTTTCTTGCTTCTAAGAAAAGAGACACGATAAACATACAGTATTCACACCTATGAATTGTGGTGTATTTTGACAAGCACAGAAAAATAGGGGGTCAGAATAATGTGGTGGAAATTGATGCGATGTCACCGAACATGAGACAGAATAAATGCAGATCTTCTCACCCCTTCTTCTCATTAACAGTAAACTTCTTCAAAAGTGTGTAGGAAGCAATCTTTAAAACACAGGAATGAACGTTCAAAGAAAATCCTTCAAATCCTAACACAGTGTCTGTAGTCGTTCCCTCTTTTGCCTGAAATGGAAAGATAAATCACTCAAAATATTGATAGGATTTTATAGTTATCTTGGGAGATAAGTTGATCTTGATAAGGTAATAATTTTGTTTTGAAGTACTCATTTACATATTAAATACATTACAGTATTCGAGTCTAACGAAGTACACCCCGCAAGTGCTTAAGTACCGTCAAACAAAAATATGATAAAACTACAGCCTAAATTTATTCTAAATAAAAGTCTGTCTCGCACAGAACGCTATACCCTATTTGGCATGGTATATTCTTGCTTAGTTGAAAATTGAGTGGATTTTATTTGAACTAAACAACACGCCTGTCAAGAATTTTATTCCACGACAGACAGACTATTTTAAAAAAAAACATATAAACCAGTTTCGGCGATTATCACATCACATTTTTGTTTGGTGCTATTTCAATGAGTTACACATTTACACATGGATTTCCATATTTATCTTGGTGATAAAAAAAGTCGACAATATGACCTAATCGAATTGAACTACAAAAAATACAGGGTGATGAGAATGCGATAAAAAAGCTGACTCATTCCCAAGCTGGATAGATTCATTCGCCTTTTGGTGTTTGCTAATCTGGCAATAAAATTACCACTAAAACGATATCTAGGCATAAAATCAATCAATTTTATTTTGGTTGCTCTGGTATAAAACAAAACCACACTAAATTGGCAAACAAAATGCAGAGGACCTGGAAGACGAGCGTAACTCGGGAAAGAGTTAACAACGTCCACCAAAACAGTTAAAGCACACAAGAAAAATTGACAACAAAACGATACGAAATCAGGTAATAAATTGGAAATCAATTTAAGGTGTAAAAACACCGATCAAAAGAAGAACGTGGCAACTTTTTTTACAAACTACAAAATATTCTGTGACCATGGTCGTCATATGTGCAATATTTTTAATGGAGAAACATAACAACATAGTTAATGTTACATATAAATTTGTTGGGATAGGATAGGATAGGATTTACATATTTATCCCGGGGGAGAGGAAAGCCTTATCCATATGGCGAACCACGGCCTCTCGTCCGGTTACCATTCCAAGTCAGGTATGGGATTAGTTATATTGTTTGTTTTCGGAAGCATGGACTTGGTGCTGGAGGAAGCCGTAACCGACCACATTCCATTTGGTTACGTGAACCACCCAACGACGGCGAGGAGTGCAGCAATCCTCTCGCACATAACCATCCCTGCATGGGATTCGAACCTGCGAACCCACGCAGAGTAATTAGAGGTGCGGTGGCGAGCGTATTCCTAACGCTTAGCCCGTTGAGCCACACCGCCGAGTCCTGTCTATTTATATAAAGAAAGATTCATGCATACGTACTAAAATCCCAAATACAATTGAAAATTTAAGGTTTACAGGTTTATGAAAATTGTATATATAGCATGTATGTAAGTAGCTTCTAGCACAAAACAATAGTGCAAAAAAAAATATGAAAAATGAAATAGGCTAAAATGAAAAATATATTGTGAATAGCCTACCTGCTTCCAAAGATCCTTCATAAACTTGCTGCAATACTCGTTGTCAGTAACTGAAACCATTTTTTATGATTATTTAGCCACAGACTTGAAAGGTGTGGGAAAGCTAAATAGGATACATTTTTCAGAATTATTTAACACCAAACCTTAAAGCAAGCAAAAGTTACCGCGATCAAAAACTGTCAATCAAAATAGCCGAACATACTAAACAAACCAAGCGCACTGGGGCGATAAATAAAGCAGGTCGTAGTCTCTTTTTTGTGTGCATTTGCATTTTTTCTCGATTTTTCCAATCTTCAGTGCATGCATTGGTATGTTTTGTGTACATTTTCCCAAGAAAATATGCTTATACTAATATAGATATACTTGAAATATTTCTCGAAAAATTACGGTCGTCAGATGGTGCACATGAGCAATAAATAAACAGTATCTTCTTCGCGTGAGCGAATCCACATTTCACCATGGAGCCCAAGACGCTATTATCGAGAGAAAGCGAGACGAAGCAGTATGCTTAGATTTCAAAACTATTATTAAAACAATTTTTTGGTGTTTTCAACGGTTTGAGATTGCTTTGAACTACATAATATGAACATTTAACTTAGTTGAGTTTGCCTGACATTTTATTCAAAAAAATTATCTTCATATCTTACTTGCCCATAGTGTAATTTTTGTCTTGGCAGATAGATTGGTAGCTTGAGATATTTGTTATATAGCAAGAAAAAGTCATGTTTTGAAATTAAATGAAACTTTATTTTTATACACTGAAATATCAAATTCAGTTTGTAAATAAATAATAAATTATGGCTGTCTGGTTTTTTTTTTAAATTTAAGTAATGTAGTGTTCCCCTTCATAATTTTATTTATTTTTACAGCCTTTTTTAGCATAGTCAGGACATGGGCAGGACAGGATTTGGATTTTTTATATCTAAGTTACATGTACTGCAATGGGAAATCCATAAGTTTGCTTGAGTACAAGGCAAACAACTTTAAATTACTTGTTTAGCCAGGAATTTTCCAAGGCGAGTGGGGGGGAATGTTTTGAAATTTGGCAAAATTCAGAACTTCTAATAGCAAAGACCTTAGACCGCCTCAGCTAACGGGATTAATTGGAGGCCGGAAAACATGGGTTTTCAAGAGTCTTTCGGGTCTAAAAGAGTTTCAATAATCGGAAAATTGCTATGTATGATACAGAAAAATGCTGTTTTTCATATTTTAAAATTAAAATGTTTCGAATCGCAATGATACCGAGATGGGGGCTATTTGTGTTGCATACCAGTGTTTTTGTCCATGAGTTCTCATTGTTTTTTTGCTGTTGTTGTTGCTATAGTATTTCTTCATGTTATTTTCATGATTGCTTTTATTCTGCATATCATTGAATTACATCTTCCTCAAATTACGGTAGGTGTTTTTGCATCTTCACTTTGAGCAAGGCTTTACGCAAGCTGTTTATTGACAATTTGGAGGCCCAAACTAAACTCATTATTTTCTAGTATGAACAAAATGTAACAATTTTATAGTTAATTAATGACTGATGCAGACAATAAAATAGAGTAAAAGTTGTCTAAAGTACAACACATTCTCATATAAAAAGGTATAAATGGTTTATACTCAAAAGAGACTGAGACTGCCCTAAATACATAACGGAGAGATGTATTTTTGATACTACATAGTTAGGCTTCAGATATCAGACATGCTGGTCTCTATAATTTAGAATTTTCTTTCAAGTAATATTTCTGGGTCTTCCTAGTATGATCAAAGTGTAACAACTAATATGTACTATTAGATAAAAAAAAATATAATAAATGATATTCTTTTCTTATCCAAGTGTTTAAATAGTTTGTATTTAACAAATTTTTTTGCCCAAATACTCAACACAACGGAAACGTTTTTAATTCTAGAGAGAAAGGATCAGGAGTGAGTAAACAAAGATCTTTATTTGCTTAAGGCGTGTGAAGATGTGCCGGTAACTTGATAACGTAATCGTGTTCAGTACGGTTGACAAATAAAATAAAACAAATATTTGACATAAAACATATATTCAATAAAGCATGAAGATCTGTCAACAGATAAATTAAACTTAGATCATTGTTTAGAGTAAGCTAGAAATTACCTAATTTAGTTTTTTAAATAATTAGGTTATTGTCCCGCCTTTTAATCCTGACATGGGCAAACTACATCTCCTGAGCCAAATTCAGACCGCTGCGTAATTTGATGCTATCATGACCAAACTAAAATTAAATTTTTATCTAAAGAAAATAGCTCAAGAAATTTTTTTAAGATTGCTATAAAATCCAGTTTAGTAAACGCATGAATATATTAATTATGTACATGTTTTTATGTCGCTCCAGAAGTATGTGTACCGATATGGAGGTAACTAATTTTGTTCGCCTACTTTACATCAAGTTGTGTAAAGGGACTGAAACCTATGGGCAGGGGGTATATTCACTTAGCTAACACAGACAGTTCCCAAACTTGTAATAGAACTAAAATAAGAAATATTGGAATAAAATTATGGCCTAACCCTAACCTGGTACACACACTACAGGAGTGCCGCTTTTATTTTTATTGTGCTCTTTTGCCTAAATGGCTAATAAAAGGAAATTCAATTGATTGATTGATTAGCGATATCCTATCCTCAATAGGTATATCCTTAATTCCACGTCTAGATGTAACTCTTGACCAAATATTTAGAAAACATAAATTTTATCATAAAATCCTTGAACCCAAATATTTGCCCACCGGTATTAAATCTGCAAAAAGCTTATTATAGGAAATGAAAAACAAATAGAAGCCTCACGACAATTCCCAAGACAATATGGATAATCTATTCTTAGCTCAGCTGTTCTAGCTTTTTATTTTAAATAAATGACTGTTTATTTTGCTAAGTTAGTAGAGTTAAAACCGAATCGAAGATTTAAATACAATTAAAAATATATAAAAAGATATTATAGCAACAAAAAAGCATAAATTTAATTTCAAATAATACAAGTTTTATCAAACTTTCGAGCATTATCTGCTTTTTTGTTGTTTAGAATAAACATCAGACCTCATTTTATCAAGAATTCTTGTGACATTTTTTATAAGAAGATATGCTGAAAGCAATGTCATATGTATTCACTCAGAAGTAAAAAAGCGATCTCATAGCAAAGTGAACACTGGATTGCCAAAAGAGCTACCCAAACTATAAAGAACCATGGTGGTTTAGTGCCAAGAGGCCCATTAGCTTAAGAAACATGCCACGAAGGAAAGGCATTTTGGTGCATGACCTTATCAAAATCATTTAAAGGCGCAGAGGTGTGAGAAAAATTTAGTTTGAATGTCAAATTGTTTAAATCCTTGTTAAAAGCAAATTTGGCAAAGTTTCCTCATGAATAATTGCACATTTTCTTACAATAAATGAAATTTCCCTATAGATTTTGTTAATTTATCCTGCTGTTTGGCAAATTACTGCAGTTATGTTGCCAACCCATGCATCAACTTCTTCCAGTCATACTTTCAGTCATACATTTCCCATGAGTATTATTAGTTTATTACTAATACTTTAAATATGGTAGGAATTTCCATCATAAATGAGATCTCTTGTACATTATTGCCACTGGCCCAGAGCCTTGTTCTGGAATTATTACATTGAAACTCGAGCAATCGCGGAAGTTTCTGAAATACTTAATTTAGGGCTCCTGAAGTATGCGAACCAAGATGGCGAACATCGTAATGTAATATGTGTACTAGGTTAGGGTTAGGCCATAATTTTAGGTATAAATACTACGGGAGGCTCTTGGCTAGTCTTCGAACTGATAATAGGACTAAAATAAGGAAAATTGGAACAAAATTATCGCCTGACCCTAACCTGTTACCCATGTTACGTTCCGATGTCCGCCATCTTGGTTCGCATACTTCGGGAGCACCCTTTTTTCTACATATCAAAATAAAGGGGGGAGGGGCGTTTCTGAGTCTGACCAACAACTCCTCCTGGCTACGCCCTTGGTAACATTAAGACCATTTATATGTAACCTTATGTATAGAGCAAGCCATTTACTTGGAAAACATTTCCCATGAAAAGTACATGCTATTGAAAAGCATGCTATTTTGTGAAATTACCTATTTTCAATGTGAAATAATGATTGCTGTCATTTGGATGGATTATAAATCAAAAGAGATATAAAAATTGTTTTATATTATTTAAATTACCTAACTCGTCCTATGATAAACAGAAGCAATGATAAAGAGCAGGAGATTAGTAAGGACGATATGACAGTGCACATAAGACAGTGATAAATTAGTTGTTAGATTCTGTTGTAATTATATCTTCAATATTAGGACTATTTGAAGCTAATCGAAACTATTCTAGAGCTGTGTTTAGAGCAAGCCATAACCTTGGGAATATATTTCCCATCCAAATGTACATGGTATTGAAATGTACTGTATTTTGCAGAATTAGCTATATTTAATGATAAAATAATGATTACTGTCTTATATAGATTATGAATTAAAATAGATCATTTTTATAATCTCTATATTACCTATTTTAGCCTATAGGGTAAACAAAAGCAATGAAAAAGAGCAGAAAATTAATAGTAATATTTTGACAGTTCACATTTTTAATAATGAAATAATGATCACTGTCATATATAGATTATGAATCAAAATAGATCATTTTTTATAATATTTAGATTACTAGCCAAAGATACAGAATTAAAATCAGAGGAAATGGTAGAAATTGGTAGAGATGATATGACAGTACACATAAGACAGTGATAAATTAGTTGTTAGAACTTGTTGGCAAAATAGTGTTATAAAACTTGTGGCAACATAAAGTCACCACAAAGCCACACAATCGTCTCATTAAGACTGTTTACAGGCAACATTGTGACAAAAGAAAGTGTAATTGAAACCACGCACTCATTGTGACAAGACAATGTTTCTCCGCCCGTTAGTTGTTTACCGTTTGTTGAAGAGTCTTTGTTCGTCAGTTTACAATTAATGACTTCTCAAGTGGTTTTCAAAACCACAAGTGTCGCGATTAAGAAATCTCTAAGGAATTGAAGCATGGTCACTATGAACTGGTACCAGTTGATGTTTTGAAAATTTCGCTCAAAACAAGTCTTTTAGCAAGAAGCCGCTATATGTGTACGTTGTCCATTTATCGATACCATATATTTTATTCGCCCTCACAGTTGTATT